GTGTGGGCCTACCGCGAACAGTGTGTGCATTTGTGAGTTTAACCCGGGATAACATAATTAAACAATATATTATCACGTTCCTCGAAACGCGGCGGCGAAATGTTATCCAAACGTTATCCGTTTTGCGAGTTTCTGTGTTTGAAGGTTGATCTTTGATAGGTTTCATCCCTAGACTTCGGACTTCCAAATTTCGATGAGGTACTTTTGAGATCGTAAAAGTGCGATAAAGTGCCGTGCTAGCAGAGCTTTCTTTCCCATATGCGTGTTACCTTGTACAAGACGTTCGCATGGCAGACATTGGCCTCGCTTCGCTTGTTTACTTCCCTTGTTTACGTTAGCACGTAATGCGTGCCTATTTAAGAATTTGTTCATGCTTAGCGTGCGTATATCGAGTTATGGATGACGCGGGAAGTTTGGAGAGCACGAAAGATGCGTAAGAGTTGCACGAGGCGATAGCCGAGTGCAACTCTAGCTTCTTGAGTGCTCTCCAAACTTCCCGAGTGCATCCATAACTCGATATACGCACAGCTAAAAGCATGAGCAAATTCTTTTATAACATAGCTGACAAAAATGCTTTCTTTTTGATTAACTGCAAAATTCTCGTAACGCGTTACACAATAACAAAGGGTTCTATTGGCTGAATACGAACACGCCACAATCGTCTAGTTTGAACGAAAATATTCTTTCTGTAAAACTGAGAAAGTAAATTTGCTTCTTTATTCGTTAACGATCAATGGAAACTAAGCAGAAACAAAGGTAAAAGAGTCTTAAAGTTCACCTAAAGTGAAAATACTAACATGATCGTAAGAAGTCGTGGAGTATGGTTTGGATTTGCTGAAAAGATGTTTACGTTTTGCTCGGCGAAATCCAGAAAACATGTTTTTAGCGAAGACGACTGTCATCCTTCTTTAAACTTATATTCATTTACGAACTTTGGCTGGTCATTACGGCTTCTTGAGGAGACCTGGCAGCAGTTGTTTTTGTGAGTAATAAATTTATGTCTGCTTGTGTAATTTGTGTTGTTATTGCGAGAGAAATTTTCCTGCTTCAGTCGGATTGTCCGGAGATAACAAAAGTGCATAACAAATTTAAAAACAACAATAAAAACGGAAATGTTACCCATAAGTGTTGTTGATAACCAGTTGGTGTTCGTTCTGTTCCCAGTGAATGTCTTTCGGCCAAAATTTGCTGCAGCTGGTCTTCCGACAAATTTGCGAAACTCGCAACTTGCGAGTTTTTTTTAATTCAGCTTTATTTTTGCTGCCTGTTCGATCAGGACCTAAAAGGTCAATGCCGATATAAAAATCGGGCAGCTCTTCGCTGGTTTCTTCCGAAGGAAAACTGAACTACAGCTTAAAAGACGAGAACTGTACTTTGCAGCCAGCTAAAAAAAAAAAATGCTCACGTCATCTTATTTACGCACGGGCGTGCGTAAATAAAGATTTTGTTCATAGCGGCTCAATAGAACTTATATAGGGCAAGCACGCGCGCTATGTTATAATTAAGAATTTGTTCATGCTTAGCGTGCGTATATCGAGTTATGGATGCACGCGGGAAGTTTGGAGAGCACGAAAGATGCGTAAGAGTTGCACGAGGCGATAGCCGAGTGCAACTCTAGCTTCTTGAGTGCTCTCCAAACTTCCCAAGTGCATCCATAACTCGACATACGCACAGCTAAAAGCATGAGCAAATTCTTTTATAACATAGCTGACAAAAATGATTGTTTTTTGATTAACTGCAAAATTCTCGTAACGCGCGACACAATAACAAACGGTTTTATTGGCTGTTTACGAACACGCCACAATCGTCTAGTTTGAATGAAAATATTCTTTCTGTAAAAGTGAGAAAGAAAATTTGCCTCTTTATTCGTCAACGACCAATGGAAACTAAGCAGAAACAAAGGTAAAAGAGTCTTAAAAGTTCACCTGAAGTTAAAACACTAACATGTTCGTAAGAAGTCGTGGAGCATGTTTTAGATTTGCTGAAAAGATGTTTACGTTTCAGACGTTTTGCTCGGCGAAATCCAGAAAACATGTTTTTAGCGAAGACGAATGTCATCCTTCTTTAAACTCATATTCATTTACGAACATTAGTTGGTCATTACGGCTTCTTGAGAAGACCTGGCAGCAGTTGTTTTTGTGAGTAATATAAAATTTGTCTTCTCGTGTAATTTGTGTTGTTATTGCGAGAGAAATTTTCCTGCTTAAGTCGGATTGTCCGGAGATAACAAAATGCATAACAAATTTAAAAACAACAATAAAAACGAAAATTTTGCCTTTAAATGTTGTTGATGACCAGTTGGTGTCTGTTCTGTTCCCAGTGAATGTCTTTCGGCCAAAGTGTGCTGCAGCTGGTCTTCGGCAAATTTGCGAAACGCGCTACTTGCGAGTCTTTTTAAATTCGGCTTTATTTTTGCTGCTTGTTGGATCAGGACCTAAAAGGTCAATGCCGATAGAAAAATTGGGCAGTTCTTCGCTGGTTTCTTCCATATTTTAAAGAGAGGGAAAAGTGCACTGCAGCTTAAAAGACGACAACTTTGCAGTCGGGTAAAAAAAAATGCTCACGTCATCTTATTGACGCACGGGCGTGCGTAAATAAAGATTTTGTTCATAGTGGCTCAATAGGACTTATATAGGGCAAGCACGCGCGTTATGTTATAATGCACATTTGCGTCAAAACA